GCTACAGGAGGCCTTTGTTCACCCCCCGGAGCCGTGTGAGACACTTTTTTTTTATGGATGGGTGCATTTTATTTAACTTCTTTTGGACTGATGCATGCAACACCCGCTGAGTGGTATGACACAGCTTGAAAGATCAAAGACAATTTTTAATATAACTCCGATTGGATTCGTCTGAAAGAAGAAAGTCATATACACCTAGGATGACTTGAGGGTGAGTAATTTATGGGCTAATTTTCATTTTTGGGTGAACTAACCCTTTAAGACTGGTTTTGTGCTCCAGGGTCACATATTAATATATTATATATATTTCACAGACTTTTAAATTAAATGTTCCCTCCTGGCAGTTTTGATATATTTACGGTAGGACATTTACAAAATATTTTCATGGAACATGATCTTTACTTAATATCCTAATGATTTTTGGCATAAAAGAAAAATTGATAATTTTTAACCCATACAATGTATTGTTGGATATTGCTACAAATATACCCCAGCGACTTCTGTGCTGCAGGGACACATATTATGACAAAATTATAATTTCACAAAAATAAAACAATAACGTATGATGAATAAAATATTTTTAACATTTCCTAATTGTATTTTAGATTTTAATTTACACAAACTGTGAATACACAAATACAACTTTTGTAATTTTTTAAAAAACACAATGCAGTGAACAAGATTTTGAAGATAAAATTATAATCAATACATGTTTAGAAAGGTTTAGGTTTGCATAAATAATGACAGAAAATGAAATATAAATGAAATGCAGTAATGGCTTTTCAAGATAAAATTATAATTTTTAAAGATATATAAATGGCATATAACAAAATGAAATACAGTAATCAGTTTTTCAATATTATTGAAGGTAATTTAAAAATATGTATTTTAGGTTTGCATATATCATAAGAATAAATATAAAATAATTCAGTGATGAGTTTTTAAAGGTAAAGTTATAATCAATAAATTCTTAAAAATATGTTTAAAGTTTGCATATATCATAACAGAAAGTAAAATGCAAATGAAATACAAATGATAAGTTTTTTATAATAAAAAATATTTACAATTTTTTTTTTTATGTTTGCATATTTAATAACCAACAATTAAATATAATTAATTGTTGAAGTGATGAACAGTGATGAATTTTTCAACAAAATAAAAATAAAAATGCTTCCAACAATATATATTTCAGGTTTGCATATAACAAAAAAAAAAAAGAAATACAGCGATGACCTTTTCAAGATAAAATTCTAATCAATAAATACTTAGCGAGATATATTTAAAGTTTCAAGTTAAAAATATGAAATATGAATCACCTTTGCTTTTGTCCACAGGAATATCCAGCAATCGACGGAACTTGCTGTCCACTGAACAGAAAAACAAGAAAAACTTAAATGAATCAATTCAATCACACATAAAACGAATAAATGAGCCTGAACCTTATTTCAATCCCTAAATAAAGTACATTTAAAGGGACAGTTCATAAAATAAAAAATAAAAAATTCTGTCATCATTTACTCCCTTAGGCTCAATCCTGTATGTTCTTTACTAAATGAAAGCAGAAGGGACTTTTGAGATCAAAAGTGACAATAAAGCAGCATAAAAGCATTACGTATATGACTTGATGCACTTTATTTGAAGTCTTCCCATGTCAAAAGCTAGCTTTTCGGTGAATAACTCAATAACAAAAAACAAAGCTCTAGTATGACTTCAGATAACTTGGCATCTCAGCAGACATACAAGTCATACAGGTGCGAGTAAATGATGTCAGAATGTTTATTTTTGAGTGAACTATTCCTTTAACCCTTTAAGTGCCACCCCCCATTTTTGAATATAGATGTGAAAGTGCACTATTCAAACTTAAATTGTTATAATTCATGAACACTTTGGAATACAGACCTAAGTAAGGTTGGACTCATTTTTAAGAAGACAATCTGCAGATTATTGCAGAAGTAGAATCATTTCAAAATATTAAAGTATCAAAAAGTGAAAAAAGTTAAATGCACTGTACCATTTTTATTTTATTTTATATAAAATAAATATTTTTCAAAATATTTTTGAATCCAAAATTGCTATAAAATTAAAGCCTTATGTCTAAATATGTTCCAAATTTGAAGTTGATATAAAAAAAATGAGGTTCCTGAGAGATTTTATTTAGGGCGTTATACCACAAACAGCCACCGGGTGCCATCAAAACTCCATTGAATTTTTGTAAATGCATTTTTCGGTCACAAATGTCTAAATATCTCTGTCGATATTACTTCTATCACAAAATAGAATCTTGAGACTCAGACCTTTCCGACGATATGTATTTTGTCAAGATTATAAAAAGGTTTGATTCTAAAAGACCATAATACATTTTGTAATATGACACCTGACTCCACCCACTAAGAGGGAGGAGACCGCCAAAAGATTTTAAAGTACCATTTCCATGGTAACACAATGTCCGATTTCAAAATGGTTTGATTTCACGGGATGAATTTTGAGGTTTTAAGCTTTCATATGATATGTAATTTATGATTATTACTAAGATATGTGACAGAGAAAAAAAGACGACGAAAAAAAAAGAGCGCCAACGGGCCCACCGGTGGGCCAGTGGCACTTAAGAGGTTAACTACTAAGGTAATGTGTATGTATCATGTTTTTACGTTTGGAGCATTCAGCCTCGTCCGAACCGTCGCTGCACTGCAGTTCCCCGTCACACTCCAACTCTTTCTCGATGCAGCATTTATTTGAACATGAGAAATGATCTGGACCGCAAACCACGTCACACTGCTCACCTGTGTGTGTTTGAAAGAGGATTTCACTTGTCAATGCCTATATGAATATTCTACACACTAATTCAAATGAAACGTCTCAGGTTACGTATGTAACCATGGTTCCCTGAGAAGGGAACGAGACACTGCGTCCTCTAGAGGTCGCTATAAGGAAACTAGAGGATGCAGTTCGAAGTTCCCTCGAAAGGGAACGTCTCAGGTTACGTATGTAACCATGGTTCCCTGAGAAGGGAACGAGACATATAGCGTTTCCTTATAGCGACCTCTAGAGGACGCAGTTCGAAGTTCCCTTGAAAGGGAATCATCAGCAATCATGGACTTACGATGATCGTGGATCGGACCTAATCTTCCAGACGGTGGATTAGCAGAAGCTGCAATAAGAAAATATTTAATGTAAAACAGCAGCACCTGAAATCATTTTTGAAAAGTCACTCTTAAAAATGTGTTAGTGTAATTAAATTAGGCAATGAAATATCAAATAAAGTGTAAATTATTTCTAAAAAGCATCCACAGGCAGACTTGATGAATAATTCAGGGATTTTCTGAACGAGCTGCTCTGAAAGCATCACTGAAGACACCTCTGCTTTGTTTGTTTCAGTTTATGTTCAATTTAACAGGCAATGCATGTTTTTAATGCAGTTTCATAAGAAGAAACAGCCTAAAATATCTAACACAATTCAGTTTGACAATCATCTGGTTTATTTTGCGAGAACCAGAATAAAAACCCCAAAGCCTCATGACTGGTAAACTTAACCTTCAAACATTTAAATACATAATAATAAATCGCTTGTCCTCATTTGCTTCTGACAAAAGAATCTGCTAAATGAGTAAATGCATCAAAATAGGGTTATGCTTTAATAAAGACAACATTTACATGGGAAAAAGTCACAAGTATATCATAAAGCTATAAAAGGTAAGGTAAAAGTTATTTTGTATTACATGCCTACAGTATTATACGTTTCATGCTTGTTTAAATAAACACTTTTTTATAAACACATTTTGCACAATAATGGCATTACACTTGCATTACCTTTAATTTAATTCGTAAACAAGTTTTACTTGCAGAATATATAATAATATATAATTTTAATATATATTATTATATAATTTTTCAAGAAAAAACACCAAAGCTTCATGACTGGTAATCCCAAATGTCAACGATTTAAATAAATTTATGATATATTTATTTGGATGAAAGCGTCTGCTAAATGAATACATGTAAAAGTATTTAGGTTGGAATAGGGTTACATTTTAATAAGACAAACATGTTTAGTTTTACAATATTTACTTGGAAAAGTCATTAGTATATTATAAACCTATAAAAGATCAAAGTTATTTTGCATTAGATATCTAATATATGTTTCATTAAATAAATAAATGAACACTTTTATACACAATTTGCACAATAACAACCATTGTGCAGTATACTTAATTGAATTAGACTTTCTACTAGTTTTTTTGCACTATGACAGTTTTATCTGTAATTAACTGGCATGCACTTATAACATGACCATAAAAAGCTCAATACCTGAAACTTTGTCGCAAGCGTTCAGGCATTCGTTGAGCACCAGGTAGTTGTTGCGGTTTGGTTTGCAGCCTCCAAACTTGAACTGCTCACATTTCTCTGTGACGGCGTTGTAGTGCCAGCGTGGGAAAGAGCCTCGACACGGACCCTCCTTCTTCGGCACCAGACAGTGATCTGATGGGAAGAAAAACAGCCATTTTAGTCACAACAAATGTTATGCTTGCAGCTTGACGTAGCATTTTATTTATTCTTCCATACAGACAGAAATCACCAAGAGTATGATATAATTTGCATGCAATACTATATTTAAAGTCTTCTGAAGTAACGCTTTGTCATTGCACATCAGCACGTGTTTGCTTCTATAGCATGCCATAACAAATTGCATGAGAAAATGCAATTAAGTTTTGCGAGCCTCTGCGGTGAAGTTATGACATTTTAGAACTCCAAATGAAACCATTTAAGAGACAATGTGCAAAACACATGACAATAACATTAGAGCATCAATGCAATTAATGTCAGTATCAAATGTCATATCAATGCATTTATTTTTATGGGAACTCAAATTAAAGCTTCATTACTTGAACAATACACTGTCAAGATAGGTTTAAGTCTTGATTTATGACTCAATAACAGTGACGCTGTGAAAGAGCAAGCAAATACAAATATAACGTCAATTTAGTAAAATAATGCATGTGTTGTTAGGTCACAAACGGCATTCCTGAATGTATTTTATAGTCGATTCCCATACTGTACTGCTCATTTACATAATCGTGTGTATGAACACATGAACTATGTGAAATATGAACGCTCATTCAAACAGAAAACTGGAACTATCACTTGCATTACACAAGACAAAACACGAACATGCGGTTGATTTACCACAGTAACTAACGTCTCGTCCCTTAGAACGTACAAATGAAAAAAACTTGTATTGTACGTTTAGTTCTTTATGCACTGTATGTGTGTTTGTTTTCTGTCTGCATGTTACAGATGCTGCTGATAAACATGCATTTAAGTCTTGGAAAAACATTTATTAATATTTAATGGGCTTCTTCACAATATTTTCTCACCATCAATGATGAGACAAACACTGCGCTTTGAACACAAAGGCAGCAAAACCAAACACTATAAATAATGCAAATGCAACAGGATTAATTCAAATGAATACAAAGCCATGTAAATATCTGTTCAGCATTAAAACTAATAGAATTTGTCTTCTCTCATATGGATTTTAGATTTACATTTGACAGTTAGACCAGATCAGAGCGGTTTCACAAACGCTCAATGACAAGAACAACCTCATTCTCTGTGAAACTCTCACCGCAAAACCTGCCGCTCCAGTTTGTGAAACACTCAAGAAAATGGCCTCTCGCAGCTCAAGGGGTTTCCGGTTTCTACTAAAACCAGGAAACATCAGGCAATCGGTCACAAAACTACAACTGAATCATTTCCATTGAAAATAAATAATTAAACTGCTGATTTGACAGTTTCGACCAAGCAAAGCTGAAATTAGCTGAAGCTCCTTTTAATAGGAAATATGAGGAAAAAATTCTGTTTTTAGAAAACAGAAAAGCACATTCTGGGTTAACAGAATAAACCCATTTATGCATTCAAGTCTGACAAATCCTGGTAAATTATTAATCCGTGTATTTTTAAGGTCGCTTCAAAACCTGTTGGACCAGAACTCATCTCAGGTCAACAGTGCATGTGAATTTCATTATGATAAATCAGATTAAATGACTGAGAAACACTTATCAGAGAACATGACAGCAATGACCTACTACTTTAACGAAAGCTGTTGCTTTTAATATCATAACGACACATACGGGAATGAACATTAACTCTGACGAATTTCGAGAACATCACACTTATGTACATCTGTTTTTGAGTCGATAATTTTGGCAATACTGACTGAAAAACTCAGTTTAATGAGGCCTACAATCAGTCAGTTCCAGACAGAAATACAAAACCTGTGCAAATTGAAAGAAACGTCACCTACTGGCAGTTTTAGATGATAAAAATATGAAATCCTAAATTTGGCGATAATATGTGACCCTGAACCACAAAACAAGACTTAAAGTAAATTTTTTTGAAATTGAGATTTGTGCATCATCTGAAAGCTGAATAAATGAGCTTCCATTGATGTATGGTTTGTTATTTGGCTGAGATACAACTATCTGAAAATCTGGAATCTGAGGGTGCAAAAAAATCTAAATATTGAGAAAATCATCTTTAAAGTTGTCCAAATGAAGTTCTTAGCAATGCATATTACTAATCAAAAATTAAATTTGAATATATTTACGGTAGGGAATTTACTAAATATCTTCATGGAACATGATCTTTACTTAATATCCTAATGATTTTTGGCATAAAAGAAAAATCAATAATTTTGACCCATACAATGTATTGTTGGCTATTGCTACAAATATACCCGTGCGACTTAAGCCTGCTTTTGTGCTCCAGGGTCACATATACCAAAATAAGAGATTTACAAGCAATTTTTAAAAGGCCGGTCGTTTTTGACCAGGAACGCCAAATTGCATAAAGGATTTTCAGCACAGCAGAAGGGTTAAAAAAAATGAATAAACAAATGAAGTAAACACACAACATGTGTTTTCATGTACAGTACTCACGGAGTGACTGTTCTGGCGTCAGGACCAAAATAGACACCTCGGCCGATCCTGTCTGATCAGCGTCATCTGTGACCGTGAGTCTGAACTTGTACATCCCCGGAGAAAGATTGGAGACTGTCATTGAATCCTCAAATGGCCCTTCCTGACAAAAAATTAAATAAAATGTATATTGTACATTAAAGAAATTTCAGTAACACTTTGCTTGAAGCCTATGCATACAATGCATGATAGATTATTTTTATCGCATTAATTATGCCTTGTAATGCACCTTTTAATGCATTGTATGAGCTATTATTATAACCACAGTTATATAATATTAATATTTTTTATTGTTACACCTTTTACTTGAAGCCTTTATATACAGTATAATGCATTAAAAAAGTATTTTACCTACTATTGCATTAATTACAATATATTTTAATACTTATCTATTCATTGTAACAACTTATAAAGTATAACTCATTAAAACACATGAAAAGAACAATATCGGTAACACTTAAAGCCTTTACATATAATGCATTCTAAAAATATTTTAATGCATTAATTATGCCTTACAATATTTTTAATGCATCAATTATAATATACAATTATAATATTAATTTTCATTGTTACACTTTTAGAAAGTATAATTCATTAAAATGCATGAAAACAACCAATTTCAACCAATATCAGTAACGCTTTACTTGAAGCCTTTATATATGTAATTCATTATAAAAATATTTTAATGCATTAATTATGCTTTATAATAATACACTGTATGAACTCATGAATAATTATTTAACAATTATTTTAACCACACTTATATTATAATACTTATCTATTCTTTGTTACACTTTTTGAAATATAACTTTTTAAAAAGCACGAAGAAGCCTTTATACATAACACATTAGAAAAGTATTTTAATTAGGGCTGGTAAGCGAATACAATTTTTAATCTAATTAATTACATGATGTGGCGATTAATTAATCTAATTAATCGCACATCAAATTTGTCTAAGAAATTACTCCCAAAAGATAATTTAAAGTCATTGTTGTGTAAAGCATCAAACAGACATTACAAAAAGTAGCTTCAGCAAGAAATATTTTGTTTGATTCAACATAAAATATATTACATATACTCTTTTGGACCATGAGGGTGAGTAAATGATGACAAATCTTTTATTTTTGGGTGGGTGAACTATACCTTTAATAATTTTTTCTTAATTTCTTTAATGAAATGATACTCTAAATAATAAACTAAAACTGCCAGTAGGTGGTGGTAAATATCTTAATGATTAAGCCATCAAGTCATTTATTCATTAATTTGATTCGTTCAAATGGCTGATTCATTCAGGAGTGAAGTAAATGGTTCTTTATTAATGGTCCATTGAATCACTAGGCTTGTTCGACTTGAAGCGGATCAGACCGATCGGTGTCTGGCCTAATGGTTAGAAAGTCGGACTCGTAACCCAAAGGTTGCGGGTTCGAGTCTCGTACCGGCAGGGATTGTAGGTGGGGGGAGTGAATGTACAGCGCTCTCTCTCACCTTCAATACCACGACTGAGGTGCCCTTGAGCAAGGCACCGAACCCACAACTGCTCCCCGGGCGCCGCAGCAAAAATGAACACACACTCCACTGCTCCGGGTGTGTGTTCACGGTGTGTGTGTGTGTGTGTGTGTTCACTGCTGTGTGTGTGCA